AAAACACTATTATTTATAATTAACAAAATATGGGAAACCCATAGAAGATTTTGATTCGATATTTATATTATTATAGATTTATAATATTAATTTATTTTTAAAAATAAAACACATGGATATATATAAAGGCAAGGTATAAATATATATTTAATAATTCTTGAATATAATACATTAAATTTTTATTATAATTAATTGATTGAATTTTTATATAAATTGATATTAGAAGAATTACAGAAATAGGAAATAATAAATATATTAAAACAATTATTGAAATATAATATTATATGTATTTAATAATGATAACACACTATTAATTATTATATATTAAATAAAATCAATATTTAAATATATATTTATTTTATTTAATATTAATTTATTATAGATAAATTATGGAAAAAAAAAAAATAAAAAAAAATATTGGACATCTTAAAATTAAAAGACCTAATAATATATTATTATTATTATTTATATTGTGTATATTTATATTAAATTAAGATTAATATTATTTTAGTTTATGATTCGAATAGAATAATATATTATTTTTATATATATAGAGATTTAGAATAATATAATATATAATCGACACATGCTATGGCAAGACTACAGTATTGGTCGGGCCCCGCTCTGTCTCTCTGTCTTTTCTTCCTGCCACTCAGAGATGCACAAAGATAGACGGAGAAAGACAGAGAGTACGAAATAGATAGATATGGACACACGGAAACAGACTGGGAGACACAGAGAGAGGCAAAGATACGGAGACACCCGGCACGAAATTTTCGAGAAATTTCCACTCGGACAAGTCCCCAAATTTCCCCGAAATTTGGCCCGGCAATTTTTGTGGAAAATTTGGCCGGGATACGCCGCGGGAACTCTAAGCAAAATTGTTAAGAACCCCCCGAAATTTCGGCAAAATTTCGGGGCCTTCCGGGTCGCGCGAAGAGGCGGGAGCTTGTGCCGCGGAGAAAAGACCGGGACAAGCATAGCCACTCGCCGCAAGCACTACGATTCCGCCGGAGTACCGTACAACAGCTTGCCGGTGCACGGGAAATGCGACCTCGAACGTACCGGTAATCAATATATGTTCGATATTATAATTATACCTATATATATATATATATTAAAGAGAACCCGATAATTCCATCAACGGCAATACCAACAAAAAAAATCAAAAAGGAGAGAAAACAGAGAAAGAGAGAAAGAAAGAGACAGAGAAAAGAGAACAAGAAAAAAACAAAAGGAAAAAGAAACAGATTAATAAAAAACAAAAAATAAGAAAAGTAAAAAGAAAAATCGAAAATCAAAATAGAGAAAACAGAGAAAAAGAGAAAGAAAGAAAGACAGAAAGAGAGAGAAGAAAGAGAAAAGGAGAAAGAAAGAGAGAGAGAGAGAGATAAAAAAAGAGAGAGAGAGAGATAGAGAAAGAAAGAGAGAGAAAGAGAAAGAGAGAGAGAGAGAGACCCGTAGCAGGAGGAGTTGCTGCTAGCGGAGATGCCCGAGGTGGAGGCAATGGCTCCCCAAGAGTGTTTCCGGCCCCTGGAAAGACCAGCCGATGCCCCAACAGGACCTAGGCAAGCTGTCCCTCATCCTGTGGGCCATCCTGTGGGCGATAAAGCGGCACCAAGGAGAGAGAGAAAGAGAAAGAGAGAAAGAGAGAGAAAGAGAGAGAGAGAGAGAGAGAAATCTTTTTTGTCTCTCTCTCTCTCTGTCAGAGAGAGAGAGAGAGAAAGAGAGAGAGAGAGAAAGATAGAGAAAGAAAAGAGAGAGAGAGAACAAAAAAGGAGAGAAAGAGAGAAAAAGAGAAAAAGAAAAAGAGAGAGAGAGAGAAAAAGAGAGAAAAAGAGAGAGAGAGAGAGAGAGGGGGAGGCAGGCAAGCAAGCAAGAACAATGGTAGAAACAATCAGAAACAAAAAGAAAGACAGAACGAAAGGAAGAAAGCGGAGCTTGAAAGGGGGAGATGCGGCACGCAGCAACGCGGAAGTGTGCCATCTTTGTAAACCGACCCGCAGAAACAAGCGGACAGAAAGATAAAGACAGAGACAGATATAGATGGACATTACCAAACAGACAGACGCGGACACGCAGAAATAGACAGAGAGACACAAAAAGACGCAAAGAAATAGAGACGAACGACAGACTCGTACAGAGACAACCCGAGAGACAGAGAGACACAGACATACAGATAGAGACAGAGAGGCGCAAACACCAAAAAGAAACAGATTGGGACATACAGAGATGCACAAAGATAGACAGAGAAAAAAAGAGATTACAAAATAGATAGATACGGACACACGGAAACAGACTGGGAGACACAGAGAGAGGCAAAGATACGGAGACACCCGGCACGAAATTTTCGAGAAATTTCCACTCGGACAGGTCCCCAAATTTCCCCGAAATTTGGCCCGGCAATTTTTGCGGAAAATTTGGCCGGGATACGCCGCGGGAACTCTAAGCAAAATTGTTAAGAACCCCCCGAAATTTCGGCAAAATTTCGGGGCCTTCCGGGCCGCGCGAAGAGGCGGGAGCTTGTGCCGCGGAGAAAAGACTGGGACAAGCATAGCCACTCGCCGCAAGCACTACGATTCCGCCGGAGTACCGTGCAACGGCTTGCCGGTGCACGGGAAATGCGACCTCGAGGCCGTACCGGTAATCAATATATGTTCGATATCATAATTATACCTATATATATATATTAGAGAGAACCCGATAATTCCATCAACGGCAATACCAACAAAAAAATCAAAAAGGAGGGAAAACAGAGAAAGAGAGAAAGAAAGAGCCAGAGAAAAGAGAACAATAAATAAAAAGGGAAAAAGAAAAAGATTAAGAAAACACAAAAGAGAAAGGGAAAGAAACAATAAGAAGAAAAATGCAAAGAAAAAGCGAAAACCAAAAAAGAGAAAAAACGAGAAAAAGAGAAAGAGAGAAAGACAGAAAGAGAGAGAAGAAAGAGAAAAGGAGAAAGAAAGAGAGAGAGAGAGAGAGATAAAAAAAGAGAGAGAGATAGAGAAAGAGAGAATGAAAGAGAAAAAGAGAAAGAGAGAGAAATCCAGAGAGAGAAAGAGAAAGAGAGAGAGAGAGAGAGACCCGTAGCAGGAGGAGTTGCTGCTAGCGGAGATGCCCGAGGTGGAGGCAATGGCTCCCCAAGGGTGTTTCCGGCCCCTGGAAAGACCAGCCGATGCCCCAACAGGACCTAGGCAAGCTGTCCCTCATCCTGTGGGCGATAAAGCGGCACCAGGGAGAGAGAGAAAGAGAAAGAGAGAAAGAGAGAGAAAGAGAGAGAGAGAGAGAAATCTTTTTTGTCTCTCTCTCTCAGAGAGAGAGAGAGAGAAAGAGAGAGAGAAAGATAGAGAAAGAGAGAAAGAGAGAAAAAGAAAAAGAGAGAAAGAAAGAGAGAGAGAAAAACAGAGAGAAAGAGAGAGAGAGAGAAAGAGAGAGAGAGAGAGAGAAAAAGAGAGAGAGAGAGAGGGGGAGGCAGGCAAGCAAGCAAGAACAATGGTAGAAACAATCAGAAACAAAAAGAAAGACAGAACGAAAGGAAGAAAGCGGAGCTTGAAAGGGGGAGATGCGGCACGCAGCAACGCGGAAGTGTGCCATCTTTGTGAACCGACCCGCAGAAACAAGCGGACAGAAAGATAAAGACAGAGACAGATATAGATGGACATTACCAAATAGACAGACGCGGACACACAGAAATAGACAGAGAGACACAAAAAGACGCAAAGAAATAGAGACAAACGACAGACTCGTACAGAGACAACCCGAGAGACAGAGAGACACAGACAGACAGATAGAGACAGAGAGGCGCAAACACCAAAAAGAAACAGATTGGGACACACAGAGATGCATAAAGATAGACAGAGAAAGGCAGATTACGAAATAGATAGATACGGACACACGGAAACAGGGCAAAGATACGGAGACACCCGGCACGAAATTTTCGAGAAATTTCGACTCGGACAGGTCCCCAAATTTCCCCGAAATTTGGCCCGGTAATTTTTTCGGAAAGCTGCCAAATTCTAAAGAAATTTGCGGGGGTAACGTCCGGAAACCTAAGAGCCGCGTCGCCGGAAGCGACCCAAAATTCGGGAAAATTTGGCCGGGATACGCCGCGGGAACTCTAAGCAAAGTTGTTAAGAACCCCCCGAAATTTCGGCAAAATTTCGGGGCCTTCCGGGCCGCGCGAAGAGGCGGGAGCTTGTGCCGCGGAGAAAAGACAGGGATAAGCATAGCCGCTCGCCGCAAGCACTACGATTCGGCCGGAGTACCGCTGCAACGGCTTGCCGGTGCACGGGAAATGCGACCTCGAGGCCGTATCGGTTTATAGGAGAATATATTCAACAATAATTATTCAATTCATAAATTGTTATTAATATATATATATATATGTAATACTAATTAAACAATGTAATTTATTTTTCAATATTTAATCGAACATCGGAAATTATATAAGATTCCAACATCATTATATATCAATATATTTCCAAAGATCAAATCTTTATAATTTGATATAATCATATTAGTATTAATTTATGTTTGCCAAACCTAGCAATACACTTTGAGTTTTAAAGGGCCAACCTTTAATATATCGGCCCAACAATAACACCTCCAACAATAACATAAGGGCCAACAAACCGGCTAACCTACCTTCAACATATTCTCCGTAACCACGCAATTACCACGAACTTATAACAATGTAGGCCACACAACATAAGCTATCAATTACTACGTGGCAGATCTGAATGTGGCACGTGAAGTGTACTTTGGATGCTCAAGCTGAACATCCCACTTTTGTTCGTGATAGCACCAGAACAAGAGTAGCACAGAACGGAGAGCAAGAGCGACGAGAACCACTTTTTCAGGAAAAGCCTGGATCACTACGCGCAGAATGCGAGTGCCGCGGGTGGAGTGCAGGACACGCGTTAGGTCCATCGCGGAGTCGGCCTTCCCGTCTCAATGCAAGCATGAAGTCGAAATTGCATTAGGCGTAGCAAGCCGTCTCATTTCTGCGCGTCACAACCATTAGATTTCCATGAAGGCTTTGCCTTGCATCTGCCCTGCATCGGTGCGTGGTGAGACTTGAGCGCGTGTGAGGCGAGAGCCGACAGGCGCAAAGGCCGAGCCTAGCGGGTGATTGGAAGATTCTGCTGGGCACGCTTGGGCTTCTGGGTCCCTAGGCTCTCTCACTTGATGCTGCTCCAGCTGCGTTCTCGCTTGATGCTGCTCCATGTGCGACATCTGTCTTGCCTTGCCCTTGCTCTTGCCCTTGCCCTTGCCCTTCGGCGTGCGTGAGGTGTACGGGGCTGACCGCTTGGAGGGCTGAAGCTGCCTGACTTGCTGGCCTGGCTGCTGCACCTGGGCGCTTGGATCTTTAGTGGGCTCATTTGCCATGGTCGGGGCCTTGTCCGAGAAGCTGCGCTCGACCGGAACCTCATCAGGAATTCCATCCTCGATGCGCGCATGAGCGTCAGCCAAGCGAGCCAGCTCTCTTGCCTTATTGGCAATCTTGTCGGCTGGGACAGCTGGCAGCTCCAGAGGAACCACTTCTGTCTCTTCTTCGCGGTCCGTGACACTCTTGCGTCGTTCCGCGTGCAAAACGCATGAGATGAGGTCGGGCTTCTCCGCTTCCCTGGGTTCCCTTTGCAGGCAGATGCTGCGTCGGGCGGGGCCAGGCATCCAAACGAAATCTTCTTCGCTGCTGGAGCTGGAGCTCCAGGTGTCTTGCGACGCCTCTTTGACAGTCATCTCCTGGGCTGCCCGATTTCAGATCCCACGCTAAAAGCGACTATGTTTTAGTGGGTGAAATGGAAACCACCACTAAACACTAAAAGGCTAAAAAGCTTCTGGGATGGCTGGGAGCCACCAAGTCTCAACGAAGAGGTGCATTTCAAGGTCCCGGCCATTCCTTTGTACCGTCAGCTTCCCGGAAAACGGCGCCTTCATGAGCTCCGCAATCTCCAGCACGCGTGTCCCAAGAAGAACTTCTGAGGGCACCCATGGCACCCATGGCGGCACCCTAGAGAGCATTGCCCTCCTTCGATACACGGATACCAATACTCGATGGTGCTCGGTAACACCTTCCAGCTTTGCGTCCCCATCCCAGCCTGAAGCATCACACCAATCCAGTCTGTCCGGATGTCCCAACATCTCCCATGTCACAAGCCACTCCTTTCCAGGCTGCACGTCGCCGGAAATTTCCAGCTTCTCAATGTGCAAGGTGTGTGCATCTGCTTCTCGCGAGGCCCATTCAACTATTCGCTCGCTGCTGTGCAGGCGCTCCTCGCTTGCGGCCAACGCAAGCATCAAACCACGGCTGCTACTGTGGCATGACAAATTTGAATTGCCACGTGCCCGCATCCCAAATGCATTCAAGTTGGTCGTTAGAGAGTCCGTCCATGGAGACCCTGAAAACGAGAAGAAGAACAGCCGCAAGCAAAACCATCAAACCCGAGTCATATCGGAATAGCAAAGGCAACCCTCGTCTTCTTCGACCCTGTTTTGGCGGGTGGCCCCAAATGTTGTGGTAAACCACTGTCCTTTTGGCGTGGGCCACCCCCTGATGCACATGCAGAATGTTCAAGGGCTCGCTTCATTTGGCTTCTGGGGCTCGCTGAAGGGGAGAGGGGTCTGCAAAGGCCTTTGGATCCTTGAAGTGGAGGTTTTCAGCATGACATCGCAAACAAAATGCTTTTAATTGTTCAAGCAACAGTGCTAAGAAACATGATGGACACTCGATAAACTCATTACCTGCAACTGCATGGAGCTTGACTAAGTCAGAAGTAGTAGGGCTTCACAACAGATTTCTGGATGGGATGCGCCGGGCCGTGCTCTATGGGGCTGCCCCGCCTGACGACGATGAGTTCAAATGTGCAGCCGGCATGTTCGACTGTTTTTCACTTCACCTCTGTGAGAGCCAGTGTCATGCATCAGTCACTGCGCTGCCGGCACAGGCATTTGTGGCTTTTGAAGCACCAAGGGTCACCATAATTCAATAATTTGCCAACGCCTGCAACAAGCATTTGAATGACCCTGACAGAACATGTTTCTGAAGAAATACTCAGCCAGTGACTTTAAAGCTTGCCATGAGCTCAGCCCGGCCATCCCGAGCTGCAATCCGAATGGAGCGAAATACTCGGGTGCAGGACATGAAGGTGGGCCTCACAGCAACCCAATTTGCTTGTCCCTGACCATTCAATGGCTCCTGCAGGCCTTTTACGATAGGTTCTTCCTTGACCACAACTTCAGATTGGACAGGCTGAGCTGCTTGGGACAGCGAGCAGGGATGACCTCCGAGCGAATATCTAGATCCTTGTCCATGGGCAAGGCTGGTGCTTGCTTGGACCAGATGGCAGTTCTCAGCGCTCCTTGTCAGGTTCCAGTAACCTTTACATTCCTCAACTTGTTTCGAGGGGCCATCACAGCTGATGAGGCAGTGTGATTTCTTTCAAGAAAAACAAGCCTGGTAGTAGTCACCCATTGCAGGTGGAGGATCCTGTGAACTTCAAGTTCCTTGCTGAATTTTTGTCCTACTTTGGGACCAAGATCCCATCAAGCCGAGACACGCAGGCCTTGGGCCTGGCTACTTGTTTATGCATCAACATGGCCCATGAGGGCTTGACAAAACAGGGTTCCAAACATTGCTCATTGAAGCGCTGCACCCATCTGGCTGCACTGTCATGCACATTTGCCACTCACGCAGGCAACCTTGGTGCGGGTTGCCAATGAGCACGCTCTGATGAGTGCAAGGGCAACACGGAGTCAAATAGAGGCCCAAAAACTCAGGTCCAAACTGCAGCACAAGCCACAATCCAATCAACACCTGCATGTGGATTAGGCGCCCCTTCAGACTATCTCTAACAACCATTGAACATAGTGGGGAGCAGGGTTGAAAGTGTCGCCAAAAACCGTTAAATGATCCGGGGGGGGGGCAAGTGGTATCAGTTGCTGGTTGAATGACAGACTCTTGCCAGGCGTGGTCAAAGGTGGAAGGAGATTTGCATAGAGCTCTCGCTTCCTATGTGATCGACCGCACAAGAAGAAATCCTGATGCGAGGCACGCTAATGTTGCCCCCTTACATGTCATGAGGCACGTGCCCAGAATTCCTTCACAGGTACAGTGCATCCAACATGGCAAGCTTGAAGCTCTTGCTGAAACAGATCAAGAAGGACCGTTGAGGGTTGATGGAAGAGTATTGCCAGTTGGGGACAGACCCAATTCATTTAATGGTGTCCCCGAATTTCAAGTAACAGTGGTGGGTTCCAACTGGCAATTGTCATTCCATCAATCCACTGTACCCTCAGTTGGGCCGATTGACTTTGTGACAGGAACATGAAGAATTTCAGACCACATCAAGGCTGACACCTGCAAACCCTGATGAAATGGAGACGGTTCCCATGCCCAAAGAACTCGAAGGACTGACTTTGTTAGCACAGCACCTCATGTGAAAGTTGTGTTGGTCAAGGGCCTGTAGGGGTTTGTTCAACTCCTGAACTGCAGAAAGCCAGCAGGAGACACAAGCAAGAACGCAGCAGCAACTGCACAAGGGCACAAGAAGGCACACGAAGGAGGTGAGGAAGAGGAAGAAACAGAAGATGAATGTGTGCCCCCTGTAGTGTGTCATGGCACTGAGGGGCCCATTGATGAGTGTGCTGCTGATGATGAGCATGATACCCGAGCAAACAAGGCAGCTCAGAACACAGAAACAGCAAATATGGAATCAACAGCAGCAGCAAATGCAGACTCAACTGCAAGCTCAGCAGGCAATGCTGAAGCAGTGGATACATGCAGCTCAACCAGCAAAGAACGGGTGGCAGCAATGGTGCAGCTGGTACACGAGACAGACACACAAAACAAGCAGCAAGCAGCAGCAAGCAGCAAGGAGGCAGCCACTGTAAAGCTAGCGTTCCAGGACTGCTGGGTGCAAGGGGCATGCACCAAGGACAAAAAATAAGCTTTGCAGGGTCCCCTTTTTAGATCCTCTCCAGCCTTCAGTCTTTGTTGGGAACCAATGGAAGCACATGTATGTGTATTTCTTCCATCAAGAAGGCCAGGGGGGCAAGTACTTCATGAGCTTCTCAAACCTCTATCCTTTCATTTTTTCCTCAGAAGGGTTGAGGGGTCAGCAGCAAGAGGTGCCAAACAAGTATTTGAAGCTGTCAATCTTTGTCAATCCAAGAAGGTCACCCTAGATTGTCAGGATGATTTGGGCGGCGCCTTCAAGCTGTTAGAGGTGCCAGAAGTCTTGAAACACGCTGCCGAGAAGCTTGTGGCCACAATGGAGCCCTCGTGTCCAAGCATCATGGAGGCTGGGAAACCCCGGGTAGTAAAACTGGCAAACTTCTGCTTGTCAGGTGCAAAAAAAGGTGCGCAAGTCAGCTGAAGCTTTCCAGCCAGCCACACAGCAAACAGAAGAAACTAAGCCACGTGCAAGGGGCAGAGGCAAAGGCAGAGGAAGAGGCAGAGGCAGACAACAACAGCAGCAGGAAGAAGAGAAGGAAAGTGATCTTCTAGATGAGGACTCTTCCCTGGTTTCGAGTCCAACTCCAGATGCCCATGAAGCTTTGGAGCCCCAACCGCAGAAAAAGCGAAAGACAGCAGCAGCAGCAGCAGCAGGGGCAGACAATGTGGATGCAAAAGACAAGCAAAAGAACAAGCAGGCCAGACAATTCAGTTGCCCAGTAGTAATAACACATGTTCCCTAACACAACCCCCCCAAGCCTTCGATTTTGCAGTGAGGTGCTTGCAAATGTTTGAACCGATTGGCTGAAAACCTGTTAACCTTAAATGATGCAAATTGGCTGACTACCTGAGCCAGACTGGTAACCCCTCCCAGCCGCTGATATGGCGAGTTTCTGGATGTAAACACCAACGCCCTGACATCCCCCTTCCTGCCAGGAGGTGGCTGAGCCCAAGGCCAAGCCGAAGAAAAGAAGAGCTGCACAAAGCCAAAAGGCCTGCAGAATTGATGGCTGAGCTTAGCTTCCCTGAAGTCACATAATTTGATTTGCAGAAAGGAGGCCACAGGGCCAGTTGATATGCCTGAGAAATTAAAGGTATCAGCAAATTGTCAATGTCTAGGGGTTGCGTCCTAGCCAGGTGCCAGAAGGAGTGGCTGATGAGGGAACAGCTGCAAAAAAAGACAAGGCAGATTGACCGGAACCTTGCACTCTGCTTCACAAGCTGAAACATGATATTTCTTGACACTGGAGTGCAAGTGCAGCCTGCTCTGGGTTTTGGGGGATTCTTTGAACTTGGCAGTCGTCTGGACGTGCTGGAGATGATGCATCCAAGAGAGTCAAGAAGGCCTGGACCTTTGGCAGAAGTGAAAAATGATTTGTTTGGCCAGGGGCCAGGGGCACAGTCCTCAAACATGATAATTGTGTTTGACACAAAGGTCCAACCCACCAACTGCAGACCCTATGAACTTCATGCAACCCATCATGGGGCTGCCCCACATAGACATAGAACCCAAAATATGTCAAGTAAGTTTGGGTGATGTGAAACGAGTCAGAGACCACTCATTATTCAATTGGTCACAAGCTGCTAATGAGTTGTTGTTTGTTTTGGGGGGGGGGCATGAATTCTCAGAGAGGCCTGCAAGCCGGCTACAAGGACCCAGGCTGTCAACGTCCGTGACGTTGGCCACATCGTGATGAGCCTTGCTTCCGAGCCAAATGTCAGGAAGGGACTTCCACTTCAACTCTGGCACCAAAGGCCAGCGGCTTGGGTTCTACTTGCACCCCTCTAAAGCATTTTTGCTGGGGTGGTTTCTCAGGATGCAAGCGAGCCAGTCACAAAGATCCAGGCTTGTCAATGTCAGTTGCTACAATTGTGATGTTGTTGCTTGTCAGGAAGGGATTCCCACTTCAACTCCGGCACCAAAGGCCGGCGACTTGGGTTGGACTTGCACCCCTCTAAAGCATTTTTGCTGGGGTGGTTTGTCAGGGCGCAAGCGAGCCAGTCACAAAGATCCAGGCTTGTCAATGTCAGTTGCTACAATTGTGATGTTGTTGCTTGTCAGGAAGGGGCTCCAACTTCAACTCCGGCACCAAAGGCCGGCGGCTTGGGTTGAACTTGCACCCCTCTAAAGCATTTTTGCTGGGGTGGTTTCTCAGGGTGCAAGCGAGCCAGTCACAAAGATCCATGTCAATTGCTACAATTGTGATGTTGTTGCTTGTCAGGAAGCGACTCAAACTTCAACTCTGGCACCAAAGGCCGGCGGCTTGGGTTGGACTTGCAACCCTCAGGAAGTACTCTGGAATGTCAGTTGCTACACTGA